CCACCCTGGACGCCTGGGTTCCCCTCCCCGCTCCCCACCTCCATGGAGCTGGATCACCCAAGACGTCGTGGTCCCCACCACGGTCCACCCAAGTGCCAAGGTCACCTCCACCCGGACGCCGGGGTGTCCCCCCCCGCCACCCAGACCCCTGGGTCCCTCCCAGACACCTGGGTCCCCTCCCGGACTCCTGGGTCCCACCTGGGGTCCACCCGTTCAAGGGGTAGACGTAGACGAGCTGCCACCTCCTCGGGGGTCTCGCTGCCCTCTGAGATGATGCCAACGGCCGCCGCGATGGCCTTGGCCGTGATGGGGTGGTCTCCGGTCACCATGATGACCTGGGGACAAGGGCGCATGGGGACATTGGTGGGGGCGTGATGGCCACCTGTGGTCCCGATGGTTCCTCATGGTCCCCTGTGGTCCCCCGTGTCCCCAGTGTCCCCCCCACGTCCCTCCATGTTCTTGATGTCCCTCCATCCTCATGTCCCTCGTGTCCCCCCCGTGTCCCCAAATCCCTCCGTGTCCTTCCATGTCTTTGATGTCCCCCATCTCTATGTCCCCCCCAATCTCCATGTCCCCATGTCCCTCCATGTCCTTGATGTCCCCCCATCCCTGTCTCCATCCCGATCCCCATGTCCCCATATCCCCAAATCCCTCCATGTCCTTCCATGTTCTCGATGTCCCCCCCCATCCCCATGTCCCTCCTAGTCCCCGTGTCCTCCATGTCCCCATGTCCCCCGCCAGGTCCCCTACCCTGATACCAGCCGTGCGACACTTGAGCACGGCCTGGGGGACGGTGGCCCTGGGTGGGTCGATCATGGACACCAGCCCGGCGGAGCAGAGTCCCACGGCCACCTCTGGCAGAGCCTCAGGGTCCGTCCCCGCTGCCACCGTCCCCGCCGGCAGCCAGCGGGCGCAGAACCCTTGGGAGGGACAAGGGGGGACATGAGGGGACACGGGGTGACATTGGAACCCGTGTGCATGCGGGAGTTGCATGTGCCAACCCCTGCACACGTGTCCTCCATCCCATGTCCCCATGTCCTTCCGTGTCCCTCCATGTTCCGATGTCCCCATGTCCCCATCTCCCCATGTCCCCTTGCATGCGGGAGTTGCATGTGCCAACCCCTGCACACGTGTCCTCCATCCCATGTCCCCATGTCCTTCCGTGTCCCTCCATGTTCCGATGTCCCCATGTCCCCATCTCCCCATGTCCCCTCATCTCCCCATGTCCCCCCATCTCCCCATGATGTCCCCCCATCCCCACGTCCCCCCATCTGCCCATGATGTCCTCATGTCCCCCCATCTCCCCATGAT